TAAACTAACGAGACAGATTTGTGAAGCACCCAAACGCATCCCAGAGGACGGACGGACGGACGGACGGACGGACGGACGGACGGACGGACGGACAGACAGACAGACAGACGGGTCTACAGCAGGTTGTAGTTCAGTCAAACTGCAGCAGGAGCAGCGCCTCTTCTCCACGCTCCATTTGCCACAATGACACGCATCATTTGCCTGCGGGGCTGAACGACGACCACAACCTCTGGCTCACACCCAAACTTTCTCAATAAACTCCTACAAGTCGACCTGAACCAAGCCTCCGCTCTTATCGTCATCCTATGCCCCGTAGCCTGATATGTATGGCATTCTTTGAAACGAGGAAAAAGAAAGAATACCCCGAAACCAGGGAGCGGTGCCAAAACAACTCGTCCACCTCATGGAGCAAAAATCCATGCATAAACAGAGCAAACAGACTAAACTCTGACATGGACTGGGAGGCCTCATTAACTGCAGGGATCCAATTGTTTTGTTCCAGAGCTTGAGATGACTGCAGAATAATTCAGCAGCTCTGAGGGTTTTTTTTGTGCCTTTCAGATGTTCAGAAACAGAAGAAGTTGCAACTTGTCCCCAAGCATTCCTGCTTTCAGCCTGTGGTTTAAGCCTCTCGCCATTTTGCTCTTTTTAAAAAACTACACTTTCTGAAATAATCTCAAGATACTCATTGCAATGTAAATTTTGATGCATCAGTATGTAAATATTCTCAGGTTTGTTTAGTAAAGGAAGCAGAGACGAGTGCTTTGTTTACATTGAGTGCATACCCTCATTCCAGAATGAGATATGAATACATCTGGAAAAATGAACCATTTCACTTTTACCTGTTTGAGTTCATAGTTTGCAACAAGGACCTTTAAAGGCTGTAAAAGTTTTTGGAGTGGTAGAGAAGTAAGTTAAACTGGTACAGCACATGTATGAGGACAGCAGGACAGTGGTGAGATGTGCTGTAGGAGTGACAGCTTCAAGGTGGAGGTGGGAGTGCATCAAGGATCGGCTCTGAGCCCCTTCTTGTTTGCTCTGGTGATGGACCGACTAACAGATGAGGTCAGGCAGGAATCCCCGTGAACTATGATGTTTGCAGATGACATTGTGATCTGTAGTGAGAACAGGGAACAGGTGGAAGAGAACTTGGAGAGGTGGAGGTATGCACCTGAAAGAAGAGGAATGAAAGTCAGCCGTAGTAAGACAGAGTAGATGTGTGTGAATGAGAGGGAGGAGGTGGAACAGTGAGGCTACAAGGAGCAGAGGTCACAAAGGTGCTGGACTTCAAGGACTTGGGGTCCACTGTCCAGGGAAATGGAGAGTGTGGTAAAGAGGTGAAGAAGAGAGTTCAGGCAGGATGGAGTGGATGGAGAAAAGTTTCAGGAGTGATTTGTGACAAAAGGGTGTCAGCAAAGGTCAAAGGAAAAGTTTACAAGACAGTTGTGAGACCAGCTGTGGTGTATGGTCTGGAGACAGAGACATGGACAAAAAGACAGGAGACAGAACCGGAAGTGTCAGAAATGAAGATAAAGAACAGGGGTGTCAAACTCATTTACAAAAGGGGGCCAAAATTAAAACCTTTTTCAAACTAAGGGCCAATTTCTGAAACGACATCAACTCAAATCAGAACCCCAGCATCTTTTCTTGGTCACAGATTCCTCAACAAGAGTTATATTGTTCTCATTTGATGTTCTCTGTTGTGCTTTTGACACCATAATAAAAAATTACTGAAAAAAAAAAAAATAATCAAGCGATAGAAGTATTTTCAATTTCACATATCATCTTGGAGGCCAGATAAGATGTCGACGAGGGCCACATTTGGCCCCCGGGCCTTGCATTTGACACGTATAAGGTAACTCATCTCTTGAAAACGAGTTCCCGTGGCTCAATGAGACTACCTGGATAAATAAAGGGTAAATAAAAAAAATAAATAAAATGAGGTTCTCCTTAGGAGTGACAAGGATGGACAAGATTAGGAATGAGATCATCAGAGGTACAGCACAGGTTGAACAACTGGGAGATAAAGTTAGAGAGGACAGACTGAGATGGTTTGGACATGTCCAGAGGAGGGACAGTGGGTATACTGGTAGAAGGATGTTAGAAATGCAGCTGCCAGGAAAAAGACAGAGGAGATAATATGGATGCAGTTAGAGAGGACATGGAGGTAGTTGGAGTGAGGACAGAGGATGCAGAAGACAGAGATGGTGGAGGATGACTCTCTGTGGAGACCCCTGAAGAGGGAAAAGTTGAAAGGAGAAGAAGAAGAAGAAGGAGAAAGGCTATAAAGGTTATTTTGTTGCAAATGATTCATCTGCAGTTTGACTCCACTTCTGGTCAAATCAAGTCTTTTGTTTCTCAAAACATCTCAAGTATGTAAAAACTAAAGTACCTTGGGTTCAGTTAAACGTGTTAGTTTTGGTTTGTTACACAAAAGGTCCCAAGACAATTTAAGGTTTTATTTACTTTTTCTTTTTGCGGTGACAGAAAGCAGATGCTACTTTTCAGTATTGTTCGCCACTTTAAAACTTTATAAAAACACATTTACAAAGCTCCTTTGATTCAGAGGCCCTTCTTAAAATACGTAACAGGAAAAACTGGAGCGTATAAACAAAGGAGGAAGGTATTTATAACGTAAATTTAGCACCTGATGGACCATCCCGACCTCCGTTTGGTTGTGCGTGTGAACTACACGGCTCCAGTCCAGATAAGGAGGAGAGACTGAGCGGTTTGGACAAAGACACAGACGCCATGAAGCCGCTGCACACCTGGCAGCAGCTACTGTGCCATTAGCCTGTTTACAAAGTAATCCCCGCTCTCATGCGTGGCTAACGTCAGGCATGTCAATATGACGAAGTGATAATATGGTGTGTGTGTGTGTGTGTTAGTGTGCCCCGGCCCGATCCTGCTCCTTTGAAGTAGTTTAACCCACAGAGCTGCAGGAGTGGAAGATGGCTGGAGGCGGCTTGTTTGCTCCCTCAAGTTGCACGTTGTTTTGGTTCGGCTGAGGTTGTGTAAGATGGAAAAACATGCAGGTAAATGTTTGTTCTCCACTTTAATTCTCTCTGTTGGGGAGGGGGGCTGAAATGAGATCATTTACTTGCTGTCCTGCAGACAAACAGCCCATTAATTCCAGGTCTGCAATTGTTTTATGAAGATTCTCATTACAAAGAGCCCGAGACACTTGTGATGAAGTCCAGCGCTCAGTTTTAATTCAAGATGTCCGCCAGAGCCACCCCAACGTCCGTCAGCTTTACCTTTACACCAAGGTATTTCTGAAAGTTTCATCAGGACCTGTTTAACTGATGATGAGGTCATTTAGTTAACGGACAGAGGTGTGGAGCCCTCGGAGGATGTGTTGAGGATGACCCTCAGCTACTACCACGCCACACTCCAGCTCGAAACGTGTAAAATCGCCTGAGCTGGAGAAAATTTGGTTTCACAAGTTAGTTGGCTGCGGCGGCCATCTTTAATTGGTTTAATTGCTAAACCTAATCAGACCCAGCGGCTGTTTTCTGTACGTTTTGTTTGAATCCCTCCAGCAGGTTCATGAGATATTTTGCTAACAGAGAACAGACGCAGATTAGATAAAGGTTAGGTTTTAAAAACAGATCTGGCAAACTCAGACTGTGTGTGATCTACCTGCACCCTGTGTGTGTGTGTGTGATCTACCTGTCCTGCACCCTGTGTGTGATTTACTTGCTTCCTGTCTGTGTGTGATCTACCTGCTTCTTGTGTGTGTGATCTACCTGCTTCTTGTGTGTGTGATCTACCTGCACCCTGTGCATGTGTGTGTGAGAGAGCGAGAGAGAAATAGATCTACCTGCGCCCTGTGTGTGCGATCTACCTGAACCTTGTGTGTGTGTGTGAGATCTACCTGCACCCTGTGTGTGATCTACTTTCTTCCCGTCTGTGTGTGATCTACCTGCACCCTGTGCATGTGTGTGTGTGAGAGAGAGAAAGAGATCTACATGCACCCTGTGTGTGTGATCTACTTGCTTCCTGTCTGTGTGTGATCTACCTGCTTCTTGTGTGTGTGAGATCTACCTGCACTCTGTGTGTGTGATCTAAGTTTCCTGTGTGTGTGTGTGTGTGATCTAACCGTTTCCTGTGTGTGTGATCCAACTGTTTCTTGTGTGTGTGATCTACCTGCACCCTGTGCATGTGTGTGTGAGAGCGCGAGAGAGATCTACCTGCGCCCTGTGTGTGCGATCTACCTGCACCTTGCGTGTGTGTGAGATCTACCTGCACCCTGTGCGTGATCTACTTTCTTCCTGTCTGTGTGTGATCTACCTGCTTCTTGTGTGTGTGTTATCTACCTGCACCCTGTGCATGTGTGAGAGAGATCTACCTGCACCCTGTGTGTGATCTACTTGCTTCCTGTCTGTGTGTGATCTACCTGCTTCTTGTGTGTGAGATATACCTGCACTCTGTGTGTGTGATCTGTTTCTTGTGTGTGTGTGTGTGATCTACCTGCACCCTGTGTGTGTGATCTAAGTTTCCTGTGTGTGTGTGTGTGTATGATCTACCTGCACCCTGTGTGTGTGATCTAACTGTTTCTTGTGTGTGTGGTCTGTTTCCTGTGTGTGTGATCCAACTGTTTCTTGTGTGTGTGTGTGATCTACCTGCATGTTTTTAATGGTGGCTCTCGTCTCACCTGAGAGGAGGCCAAGGAAAACAAAATACCAAACAACCTCCAAGTGCAGGGCTACAAAGTAAAATACAAAATGAAATGTCACCATCCAAGACACACGTGCCTACAAGATCCTTCACAAGCGGTTCAAGCTGCATTAATAATTCATTAAAAAACTCTGTGAAAGAATGAACCCAAGTCTGACTATAATTTAAATTATTACAAAATAAGAGTTTGACGCTAATTAAGTAATTTTGTGGTTGATTTTTCGTTTATTTACGTTTAAAAAGGAACCAACCCGTATGTGTGTGAACTGTGAAAGAGTATTATTCACAGTTTTAGGCCTTCAGGTGGTTGAAAGTCGTACCGTTTAGGTGAGATCCGGACCCCGCGTCCTTCCAGCTGACACCACATTGATTCTAGAGTCAGGTCGCCCGTCGCTCAGACGCTGTCCATGTCAAATACACAGGAAAAATGTCGAAAAACACGTTCACACGGCAACAGTGTTAGTACTTGCACACATTTCTTTCTCCTTTTAGAAATCCGTGACATTGCATGTGCCAACAATCACCGACGAGGAGGGAAAAAAAAAAAAATATATAGAAAACTTTCTCCTGTCCAGTGAGCGAGCGCTTTATCTGGACGAAAGAACTGCGGCCAAGAAATATAAAATAAAATGTCAGCAAAATTCAAAATATTCCACGAGCTGGTACTCCTCCGAGGAGAGTGCGTTTCGGTTCAAACGTGCGAGCGAGTGAAGCGGCGGCGAAGTTCGCTAAATGTTTTATGGACTCAACTCCGCCTGAAACGCACGAAGTTGTGCCGCAAGCTAGCTCGAGTTAGCCGAACCACTTCCTAGTAAGATTTTCAAAATAAAACTTCTTCGATAAGTCTGACGCTGGATGGCTCGATGAAGGCGACGCGATGCTTTTATTGCAAAATTAGAAAACTGCCGCTTCCGGGGCTAGCTCTTGTTAGCATACGCGGGTTTGACTCGGCAAACTTCGTTCGTTGGTCCTGAGAAGCGCAAAGACGATGCAGCTAAGGAAATATGCATTAAACGAGTAAAATTACATAGCAAATAATTACCCGGTATAAAGAAGCGCATAATGTTAATCATCTGTCTGGACATTTGTTAGTAAAATTAGCAAAAGTTCGCATTTATGCTGCCAAGAATAACAGCATTCATAATTTGACTTTTTTTTTTTTAAAGCAGGAAAACTGTCAACACTGTTCTGGCCTGTATTCAAGAACTGTTTTGTTTATCACAGTCTAGCTTCAGTTATTCCAAACCAGCTGTAATGATTAATGTAAAGTTGTGCTGTTCAACTGCAAAGAGATGCAACTTGACTCCTGGAAGAATCAGCCTTGAGTTTAAAGCTAAATTCAAGCCAGACTGCTGCAGATTGCTTCCTGATTGCTCGGCCCAGGTATGGAGATTGAAGCATGTGGCAAACATGTGACGTTGGAGGTTTTACAGGCACGGACAAATATAAATAATGTCTGAAAACAGACATATTTGATCCTGTGAAAGACTTGACGTTTATTGTAAGTTCATAGTTCTATATGTTCGTTTTGACAGGGGTGGCCTTGAAAGTTTTGAGGCCCTGGGCGGTATCGGCCCCCCCCCCCCCCCATTAAGGTAGCATCTCACCACACAGCATTTTTTGAGCAGTTAATTTTTGAAAATTGCAAATTATTTTCATTTACACAACTTTAAAAATCTGTATTCCAGGCCAGAGCTTTCCAAAATTTTAAACGTCTGACCCCCCAAAATGCCATGGACTTGTGACCCCAAATATTTTTGGCTTTGGCTGTACAACACAAACAACAATTTTCCTATTTATGTCTAGTCTTTATTGTTTGTAACAATTATAATTGAATTATGCTAATAGGAATAATTTTAAAGTTTGGTTTGATTTAGATCAGGACCCAAAACTTAGTGTTTTGTGACTCACAGCGATAGTTTTGTGACTATGACCCCAATTTTTTGGAACCACTGTTCTAGGCTGTGCACATTATTTCATTGCCCACCCCCACCCACATCATACCTGCCTCAGCCCGCTTTGTACCCACCTTGGCAGCCACTCCTGGGTTTACGATGTAATCCACTGGAGTACACTTCTGAAATAAAAATCGTCCAATTCGGATCATTTTTCAACATTTAATATTTGTCGTTGAGTTTGTATCTTATTCAGGCTGTAGTCTCTGATGTTTTTCTGTCAGAGGAGAGCGCCGGTGCAGGAGTCAAAACACAGCTGTCTAGCTCTTGAGACGGGTTTAACATTTTCTGACGGTTTTAAGAGAACATTTTGTTTTGAACATGTTTAAAATTTCAAGGACAAGACTGCAAGCTTATTTGACTCACACATCAAAACCAGTAAAACCACAAACATTCAGAGACATTTTGCCATTCACCATTAGTCACCAGTAGTTAAAGCAGTGAGATACAACCTTAGGGCAGAATATTTGAATATTTACAATATGCTGGTTTTGTATGATTCATGGCCATGAACAACTTAATTGGGCACGGCAGGCAAAATTTCAGAAAATCTACCTGTTTGTTTTTAAATTTCAAGGGATGTGGCGTAGACTGAAATGCTAGCTGCGGCTGGATAATCTGACAAACTATCAAATGAAAGAAACTTGAGCTGTAAAGCTGCAGTTTGTTTCCATGTTGTGATTGGCTGGCCTGAATAAGGTCTCGTTCCAGATGTAAACAGCCATAGATATATATTTTCTCTAGCTTTTATTATGTCACTTAGAAGCTATTTGGTTGTAAAAGCACAACTATTTATTGGCACTGCAGGCAAATTTTGTGCATTTTATTGTATTTCAACACATTTTAACTTACTGTAGTTCTGCAGTTTGTTTCATGACGTTTCTGTTTCATGCATTTCTCCTTTCAGATATTATCTGTGTTGCAGCGTCATTAAAAAGAAATTCATAAAGTAAGAAACAAGATTCACACATTTTTCTCTCTCATTTGGATAGTTACTGTGACCTTAAAAAAAAAAAAAAAATGTAAGCAAAGTTTTTGAATGGCTGTCAACTCACGTGTGTTTGTTTACCTACAAAAACAGCCAAAGTGACTGAAAACCGGTCGAAAACAGAGACGTTCTTGGAAAAGCGATCAGGTTGGTAAAGTGTGCAGATCAAAGGACGGGCCAGGCCGAAACAGTAAGTGTACAAGTCTTTATTAAAATATGTTTTAGTCACCTTGAAATTGTGTGAGATTTTGCCGTGGGTAGTACATATAAAAGTACATATAAAGTATAAAAGTACATATAAAATAAAAATACATTAAAGTAAAAGAAAAAGCAACCATTGACTGATGACACCAAGTTTTTTGAAGGCCTGAGCTCCGCCGTCTGCCTGATTCTCGATGTTTATTCTTGACCGTTGTCTCTCTCCATCTTTCTCTTTTGCTTTGCGTTTAGCTACAGACTGACTTTTATATTTTCACCTAAATTGTATCTATGAGGTTGATCACGGCCAGCCAGATGTAGGTCAGTCATGTGACTCAAGCTTCCGTGTTTTTTGTTCGATTCAGTGCTTTGTTTACATCGACTTGCTTGAAATCCCGCAGTGGTTTTAAGAAGAAGTCGGTGCAACACAGACGTGCACTTTCCTGCAGTGTAGCCGGGATAAAAGCGGACATCTCAACTTTAAAGGTAAAAGGTTTCGAAACAGGAGCTGGTGACTCACTGATCAGTGCACCCATGAGTCTTTTGGGGGAAAGTCAGAACAGGAGACAAGGAAGAGGTCTTTGGGGGACAAACATGCAGAGCGGCAGACAGTTCAACGGGTCCTCGGCGCAGCACAAACCAGACAAGGGTTTGTGCTATTGACCTGCAAGAATAGCCCGTCCACGAAGCCTCCCCACCTTGAATGGCCTTGTTGAAAAGGAGAGCCATAAACTGGATGATGAGCAGAGAGGGAAAGAGACTCTGCCTCCCCCTTTTTCCTCTCACTCTCTCACATGCTATCTCTTTCTTTCCTTTACCAAGTAGTGGTTTCCATCTCACCAAACCCCCTTTTCCCTTGAATGTTTAAAAAGATGAAAGGATAAGGAGAAGAATGGAGACAAAAGAGTGCCGGCTTGTGTTACAACCCTGCCCCTGAGAGACTGCTCATGAAAGCGTTTAGGGATGGGAGAGATAGGGACCAGAGAGGAGACGCAGAAAGAGACGATGGGGGGAGACCATGAAAAGAGGGTTTTTCAAACCGCTAAAACGGGTCACTTCTGTATAGAGAGACAGACTAAAAGTGCAGTCTTCACTCAGGGACGGAGACATTTAACACTGTCAGGACTCTCAGGTAGAAGGAAGCGTTGATATACTTGCACTCGATGACTGATTGCGCAAACACACACTCTCTCTGTCTCACGCTGCCGTCACTTCGAAAACTCTTTTGCAAGCTTGTCTTCAACACAAACACAAACATGCACTCCCTGTTGTGTCCCTTGCGGTATTCCTCCCTCTTGGCATTTACCGTCAGTCACTGGAAATCTTTGCAGCCCTCCACCCATTCTCTCCAGCTCCTTCTCTGCCTGAACTTGCCCCCGCGCGTACTTCAATAATTCCACCTCTGGGCGCATCAGTAAAGGTTCGAGTGAGAGACGAGAAAAGCCGGAGAAAGTTGTTGGCCGAGTGCGGACATGAGTGACGGTCAGTTAAAAAGGACAATTAGAAGGGGTGGGGTGTGTTTTCTTAACCTGACACCTTTCTAATTTCTTCCAAGTTAAACCATTTTACAATCAACAAGATCAAGGGCTTTTAAAAAAAAAAGATCTTTACAGAACGAGTTATACCTCCTGCTGTCACTGACGCATCACATTTAAAGGTTTCCTTAACCCTCAAGTAATCGAAAGTCTTCACAGTTAGGTCTTTAGCAGGTCATTACAAATAATAAAATCTGCACTTTTTTTTGTTTTCCTAAACCTCAACACATTTATGAGTTATAAAAATAGCCACATCAGGCATATTTTAATTGTTAAGGCCAGTCTACATTTTTGTAGCGAGGTGAACTGTGCTTAGAAACCCAAGTTCACTGGTTAGTACAATGTAAGCTTCAAATTATTTAGATTTTTAAGCATACCGAACATTTCCAAATTCCTCTGATGCTTATATTTGAATAAATGAACAACAAACTTTGGACAACAGTTTGTATTAAAAACATGTTATAGAATTTATAAAGCAGTATCAAAGCAAAGTGATGCATATCGATAGATTATTGCGGACACGTTTAACTGCCGTTTAACGTATCGATGACACGTGCCTAATGTTATGTCATGTATCATTGGGCACTTTTAAATGGGTATACTGACTTGCTTAAGCTTTTTCTAGTGGGTATACTCCGTATACCCGAGTATCACGTAGACTACACCACTGGTTAAGGCCTAGAATTCTTTTGAAGGAATGCATATCGCCCGCCACCGTTCATGCAGGAGTTTTGGAGATCGTCTCATGTTGAGAAATGAAAGTGTTGTAGCCGTTTTGGTCACACCTTGAAATCATTATGTGCAACCTCATGCAGTAATGCGACTGGTCACGCTCTGTTGAGGACGACT